TCACACAATGAAATGCCATTTGGCAACAGGAAGTTATGAAGAGGGTGGGTAAACCTTGAAGACATTATTCTAAGTGAAAGAAGTCAGCCAAAACAAGGCCACCTCTAGGAAATGCCCCAAAGAGGCAAATCCACAGAGACAAAGGAAATTGTTGGCTGCTAAGAGGTTTGGGGTGAAATGGGGAGTAACTGCTAGCAGGTATGAGGTTTCCTTTTAGGGTTCTATAGATATGCTAATAACGGTGATGGCCGCACAACTGTGAATACATTCAAAACCAATGAATGGACAATCTAAATGAGTGAACTGTATGATATCAGAATTATCTCTCAATAAAGCATGGTCGTTGTTTTAAGGTGGACTGGAAAGAGGAGAGCCTGAAGACAGCATTAACAATCTTGATCAGTCAGTTCACCTTCTCGCTCTTCTACGCGCATTCCCACACTTCCCCGCTCCATCCCAAATGGTCCTCGCAGTTCCCATATCACATCCTCCTATTTGATGCCCTGTGAACAGACTGTTCCTGCTTCCTGGAGTTCTGTCTGCCCTTCCTCTGCCCGCTTAACTCCTGTATCTAAAGTCAGTCAGTCAGAGGAAACTAAGTACTGGAACAATCAATTCCAAATCCCGGTGGCCTAACCTGACACAGGTGTGTTTCTCATCCGGGAGCCCCTCCCCAGGTGATTCAGGGGTCCAGGCTCCTTACCTCCAGGGGCTCCACCCATCCCGGACTCCTGGAGTCTTCCTCTGTGTCCTCCATACCTGGCTGAGAGCAACTGTAGGGCGTCAGCACAGATGGAACCTAGAAGCCCTACAAGGAAATTTGTAAATGATTAACTCCGTTTTGGACAGAGTATGTTTCGGATGTCAAAACACCCAGGGGCCTTGGGTTGAGTGCACAGAGTATCAGTGTATTACTCTATCCGAAATCTATACTGCAACACTCTCTACTGGGTCTTCAAGAGTTTCGATGTGATCTGTTTACAACGCCCAAAGATAATTATCTTTAAGAACAAGAATGTTGAGAGGAGAAAACACCGTCCAACATCTCTGTGAATGCAGCCCAGGTTATGAGCCGGAGCTAAAAGAAAGCTTCCTTAAGGAGTTACTTCCTAAAAGCTGGAACGCATTCCTTAGGACAAATCAAAGCAGGGCACACGCCACCCAAACTTCCCGCGCAGGCAGTGAGGTGTTGCCAGCTGCCTTCCAGTCCCCGCTCTGGCATCCCGAGGACGGTCCGGAAGGAACAGGACACGTTGGCGGCGGCAAGAGAGATTTGAAAGCACTCACTTTTACGCGACTCATCAGGGCGCGAGCCTCACCCGAAGGGCTGAGGGTCACCTCTGACACGTTTACGACCCTACGGGATCATGCAGCCTGGCGTCGTCCCCGAGGGCAAGCCTCGCAAAACCAGCTCCTAGACCGGTGGCGCGCACTCCGCTTCCACCCGGACTGCGCGTGGCTCTTCCCGTGCAGCGCAAGGCCGAGCGCGCCCCGCGGACCCGCCCCAAGCCCCGCCATTCGGAAGCGGCCCGGCCACTCGAGCGACCCCGGGCGCGGCGGGCACCGCGGCCGCGCGGCCCCCGGCCCCAACGCGGCGGGCGGGG